CGGTAAAAGCTTTCGATGATGTTGAAATACCAGATTGGGCACAACAAGTGTTGGCATTAGGACCGAAACGCCCTATAAGGGACAAACTTAGTGAGACATACTCTCTCATCAATATTGACCGCCTTCTTTCGGATCTCAAAAATCTAAAAGTCCCTTTTTGAGATCGAAGCAGTGGTAAAAGCCTTTGCTAAAAGGATTAAACAAACACCATCTACCAAGAGCGTTTAGAAGGCCCGAAGGCATCTGAAGAGAAATGGATTGGTTGCGGTGTCGTATGACAAAAGGGCATTGCTTTATTGTGCAATGAGGAAGGATACATACGAGAACAAGCTATCGGATTTAATATGTTCAAAAAAGCTCAGTGAAATCCAAGGAACCAGTGATTCGATCTTTATGAAGATAGAGAAAGATATCAACCAGGAACTGTTGGTTATGAGGAAAAATCACGAAATAAAAAAAAAAAGAATCTATACACAAGGATGAGGTCTGCTGGGGTCCGCCCACCAGGCCTTATGGGTTGGCGAATGGGCATAAAGAAAATACCCAATTGAGACCGGTCCTCTCAATGACTGGTAGCTCTTATTACAACCTGAACAAGCTTCGTGCAAAGTTTTTGGAGAAAATTGGGGGCGCAAACATCGAAACCAAATCACTAGAAGTGAGAAAAGTCTTAGAGAGCATTAGTCTTGAGCCCAGTGAAACTTTTATATCTCTAGATGCTAAGAGTTTGTAATCAAATGTTCCACTCAAAGAAGCAATAGACCTAGCTCTGAGAAAGCTGTATGAGCAAGATGAACCACCATCAGTTGCTAGGAAAACCGTGCAGAGACTGTTGAACATGCCAGTTAGTCAAGTCCATTTCAAGTGCAATGAAACATGGTACATTCAGAAAGATGGTTTGGCAATGGGGGCATCTCTATCCGTTATCTTAGCAAATCTTTGGCTTAAGCATTAAAAAACTACACTGTCGAGGGATATTCCCGAAATTTTTATACCAGAAAAAAATCTCAATAGTAAATGTCCCGAGTGCAATAAGAAGGTCACGTACAGGTCAAAAAGTGTGGAATGTAAATGCTGTTTGAACTAGTATCACGTAAAATCGTTGATATATATCAGATGATTAGTATCTGAATATAAGTCAAATCGTCTGGTGCTGAAGAAAATGCATCGCGATGAGGAAAAAAAATAAGTCTATGCAGCAAGCTAAGTTTATTCTCTGTTACTTTGAAAATATGATGAGAACAGTGAAGGTTGATCCCGAAGAGATGCTGCGGGCAGCAAACTTACTGCATCCAATTTAACAGTTCACAATAGAGACACCAAACACGTCTGATATATTGGCATTTGTCGATTTATAAAATATTATTTTTTGTAAAGCGATGGAAATCAACCGTAAACAGTGGTTGGGTAACCAATATCCGGAAGTCTAGTTGTCGCGGGTTGCATCGCAAGCCCTTGAAAAGATCATCGAGAAGATCACAAACAAATTGCCCTGAAAAGATTCCCTGAGATTAGAGCAGCGTTTCGCCACCCATCTTGATGGTTCAATATCGGAGGAATCACAGTAAGACGTTGGCAGAAAAAACTGCTCGGTATCAGAAATGCGCAGATTATTTTCACGACGCGAAATTTTATCTGCATTGAAAACCTTCTGCATGTTCTATTTATATTCCTCCTTTTCCAATGATTGAAATCAAAAGTTGTGTACAGTTTTGAATGTTTTGAGTGCAAATCTATCTATAATGGCCAGATAATTGTTGATTTTCTTATCCTCTGCTATGTTGGCGATGACTGGGCCTTCTAGTTTTCCTGAGGAGATTTTGGGTGTCGCGAGTCTGTTGACGCATGTAAAATCCCAGGCAATGGGCTTGCCACGTTGCCAGGGTGTCAATGTGGTGCCGTCCGGTCGGCGTTCGTCAGCACGAAGAAGGCCAGTAGGTTCAAGTGTGACGGGAATTTGAGCGGTTTTAAAGGCGTCGCGGAAAACTTCATTGCATATGGTGTGTCTCGTGAACATTGAGGTGATTCGCGGGCAGACCAAGGCATGCGTGCCGTAGGAGTCGAGAGTGGTGCCACACAGACATCTGTATTTTGTGGAAGCAGGGGCGCCCAATTTGATGCCACAGGCAATGCGGAACTGGTCATAGTGGAGACAGAGGCCAAGAGGATTGGAGGGAAGGGCATTGAGCCCACCTCCTGCTCTTCGGCAGTTGACTCCTTGTAGGCGAGCTTTTTGACGATCAGTTGCAGATTGCTCGATAAGAAGTCTGAGATGGTTTTTCGAGACTGGAATAGTCCATTGTTTCAGAAGTGATTTAGTCATTGCAGCAGTTATACTAGAGGTTTCACCTGTAATTGATTGCCAAATTGATAGTGCCTCTCGGAGAACAGAATCTGAGGGGAATGATTATTGAATAGTGATGTTGCAAGTGAAGAGCAAGAAACGAACAATGCAATGAAGGTAGAGGCTGCTAGTTCAATTGTAGACTGTATGCCGAAGCCACCAAGCTTGACT